TTAATAATTTACTTATAGAATATCCCAATAGCAAAGTATTGCTAGTAATTTAAAAAAAAAAAATTAAATCATCTGTTTGGACATTTGACAATGATTGTGAAATCTACAATAGTTTCTGTTTAATTCAAATATATATTAATTGATCGGGCGAAGCAAAATGTATGACTTAACAATGATGTGACAATTGCCAGTTGAATTTTAAACGAATATGCGTGTCGTACAATTTTATCCACAAAAAAAGTATGAAAATATTCAATTTTTTTCATTAAAACTGTGATTGAAATTTTTGAATCTTTCCTAATTAAATATAATTGTAACTTTGTGTTGGGCTTTTGTTATATTTTATATTAACTCTACCAGCTGACATACCAATTAAATATTAATAAACTATTTCATTATTTTAGTYACTGGAATATTTTTAGCTAAGTTTGTTTTGTACTTCAAAGTAATAATATTAATAATATATTATATTCTGTATAGGTACAATATAACCTGTCATAATATATWTTTTTTAATTTTAAATTAGGCGTAAAATATAGCGAAATGTTTTTATTTTTTTATAAATTATGATTTTATTTTTTAAATATTATGACATACATTTACTTATCTGGATCCAATAAATKCTAATAAAATATGTTAACTGTGATGGTACGTCTGATAAATTTTAAACATACTACTTCAACATTTTACTTTTATAAGTATGATTATTGTTATTCATTTTCAATTTTTTTTGTGTATATGCAATTATAGAAAAGGTCACAATTGTTTTTTCGTCGATAACTATCAGTTTTGACCAACTTTTTTTGAATTTAAAAATAATAGAAGTTGTTAGAGAAATGTTTTAAAATTAAATGTATTCTGTAAACATGTTTTAATTGTATTAAACCGAGTTAGGCATGAGTGAATTGAATTATTATTGAACGTCCTTTAATCTTATTATTCTTTGAAGACCCAAACAATTTCCTTGGTTACAAATTTTAAATTTTGTTAAAATATATTTCCTGCAGTTATAATGCTACGGGARCTTGTGTATTGATGTTACAATACGTTCAGTAATTAATTATTAATTGAATTAAAATGAGTTAATGTTTTTCGCCATAATTGAATTACATTATATGTAGACAGGTACAACAATAATAATGTACCGGGACAAAGAATAGTTTCCCGAGGTACAAATATTTAGTTGGACAAATTGGCATTTATATTTTTTATTGTTCGTTTAGACTCTAAACTTTAGAGTGTTTAGACCACGAGTGATAAGAATTTATATAATGAGTTCGATGGCGCACACAGACAAGTGCTACACATGGCATACTTGGATAAATGGGTAAGACATAAAACTTGTAATTTCCAATCAACCAATTGCGTGCGTACAATATAGAAAGGACATAGTAGTTATAATACCTTGTACCTATGATTAATTCATATTTACTTAATAACTAATAAGTATCTATATAGTAAACCATTATTTTCACACATATTATGTTTGCAAACATCAATCGCGAGGGTGTAATTGAATGATTTTAGTACAATAATCATAATTATATTGCCTGCAACAGAAAAATCATCTTCATTGTTAAGTATACGCATAAATATATCCAAAATGYCATTTGTAACGTGTGTAAATTTCTCCCTGGGAAATAACGTCGAAAATCTAGCCTATACTATAGTGCAGGGTTGGCCACTAACCTTAATTTTGAGAGTCGCAAATTTATGAAGCTATTTCGAAMTGAGCCACATTGTTAAGATAGGTATACTTGTAAAATAAAAACACATTTTTAATTTTATAACAAATAAAGGAACATTTCTTTTTCACACTACACAGAGCATTATTGTTCAGGCAGGTACACATTAAGAAATAAGATTTTACTTTTGTGCTTTTTATATTATATGAATTAATTTTACTCTAAGCTCGGTGTCAAGAGCCACACGAGACTCACTCGGGAGCCATATGCGGCTCGCGAGCCTCGTTGAGGTCACCCCTGTTATAATGGCTATACGTTTTATATATAAGTGTTTGTCACTGTCATTTGTATAATTATATTACATTATAGACCAGGGGTGGCCAACTTGAGGCTCACGTTATAGTCGTATGCGGTTCACGTATTATTAAAGAAAAAATCAAAAAAACCAATATTTACTTATTATCGATAAAATAYACGATACAACAATAAAATTTATTTTTTAACATTTTGGCTCTTGATGTCATTGTATTTATCCATATGACACGTGGAAATATYCATGTTGGTCACCYCTGTTATATRGACGATCGWTTTAAGACACGGTTTTCTGCCACATATCGTTAGAAAATTGCAACGATAACTTTATAAATTGGTGCTATTTTTACCTATATCGTGAATGAGTATGGTGACGGATCTACAAGGTTAACGGATGGAAAGGGTTTTGATTGGTAAAGTAGAATTTGTCTCTCTGGACAACTTTATTATCACTCTTTACCAAAGTTATGTTTTTTTTTTTATCTTTTAGTATATTTTCTTAACATCGATGGAATATTAACGAAATACTATTGGCTCTATATTTTTAAAACTGCATCGTTCATCTTGAGGATCTCGAATATCARTTTTAAAAATTATATAGCGTCGTCGCGTCGATGTTTTTTCATTTTATAATATACTTAATAACTTTGTTATATTTTTATAGAGTTGTTGAAATTGATTCGTAACGCCATTTTCAATCCTATAACATCACGTTTGTTTATGTTATATTCTCTAATAGCACTAATGGTACATGTAATAAAATTACTATGCATAACATATTATAAGTTAACCTATATATGGACTAAATATCATCAGTGGCGTAATTTGGCCATGTTTGTGGGG